CCCTGCATGGTCGATGGGGGGTGCTCGGGGCATCGTGGGCCTTCCGTGTCCGGGTTGGGGGGGTGGGACAGCGGGTCCCACCCTTGGCTTCCCTGGGCTCAGGCCCCTGCGCCCTGTCCTTGGGCCCTGTGGGGGTGGCGGTGGCTCCAGCTGGCTCTGGAATGTGAGAGAGGCCACAAAACAAACAAAACAAACGTCAGCCTCTCGCTTGGGCAGGGCAGCGGGAGGGGGTGCACCCAGGACGCTGTGCTGAGTGGCAGCTCCTAGGACCCTGGCCTGGGTTCAGCGCTGCCCATTAGCAGGTCCCCTTGCACCCTGTAAAGCCCCTGGTCCCTTGTGAGGCTGTTTGGGATTTGGAAACTGAGGTTCTGCTCGAGATCCTGCTGCTGGAGCTCGGCCCCAGGCAGCCCAGCAGGGCCCCCAGACATGGGTATAGTGTTTGTCCCTGAGACCCAGGGCTGCCGGGCAGGCCATGATGTTGAGTGTGGATTTGGGGTTCCTCTCACCCTTCTCCACTGCAGCTGCATTCTGGGGCCGAGGCCTGGCAGGGGCCTCGGGGGTGGGGGTGGGGGGAGATCAGAACTCAGCCTGGTTTCATATGCCTGCAGGATGTCGGTGGGCCCCCGAGGGAGCTACGCCCTCGGCTCTGCCACCTACGGAAGGGCCCCCAAGGGTACGGGTTCAACCTGCACAGTGACAAGTCCCGGCCAGGACAGTATATTCGCTCCGTGGACCCAGGCTCGCCAGCCGCTCACTCTGGCCTCCGCGCCCAGGACAGACTCATCGAGGTACCTGTCATGGAGGTTTCAGGGTGCTGGCTGTCACCAAGCGTGTGTCTGGGCCCGTGACCCCCATCCAAGCGTGTGTCTGGGCCCAATTGCCCCGAGAGTGTGTCTGGGTCCTAGACCCCCACACAGAATATATGTCTGGGCCCGTGTCCCCCACAGAGTATATGTCTGGGCCCGTGTCCCCCAACCCAAGCGTCTGTCTGGGCTCTTGTCCCCCTGAGCGTGTGTCTGGTCCCGTGTCCCCCACCCCGAGCGTCTGTCTGGGCTCTTGTCCTCCCGAGTATGTGTCTGAGCCTGATTGCCCCCCGAGCGTGTGTCTGGGCCTGTACCCCCGAGAGTGTGTCTGGGCCCGTGTCCCCCACCCTGAGCATGTGTCTGGGCCCGTGTCCCCCGCCCTGAGCGTGTGTCTTGGCCCATGTGCCCCCGAGTGTGTGCCTGGGCCCCTGTCCCCCCAAGCGTGTGTCTCTGCTCATGTCCCCCACCCCGAGCGTGTGTCTTGGCCCGTGTGTGCCCGAGTGTGTGTCTGGGTCCCTGTCCCCCCGAGCATGTGTCTCCACCGTGTTCCCCCGATCGTGTTTCTAGGCCCATGCCCCTCACGCAGGGGCCCCTGTCCCCCAGAGCATGTGTCTTGGCCTATGTTCCCCTGAGTGTGTGTCTGGGCCCCTGTCCCCCGAGCATGTGTCTGGGACTCTGTCCCCCTGAGCGTGTGTCTGGGACCGTGTCCCCCACCCCAAGTGTGTGTCTGGGCCCGATTTTCCCCAAGTGTGTGTCTGGCCCCGTCACCCCGAGCGTGTGTCTGGGCCCGTGTCCCCCTGAGCATGTGTCTGGGCCCGTGTCCCCCAAAGCGTGTGTCTGGGCCCCTGTCTCCTGGAGTGTGTGTCTTGGCCTGTGTTCCCCCGAGTGTGTGTCTGGGCCCCTGTCCCCCCGAGCGTGTGTCTGGCCCCGTCCGCCAGAGTGTGTGTCTGGGCCTGTGTCCCCCGGAGGAGCGTGTGTCTGGCCCGTGTCCTGCAGAATGTGTCTGGACCCATGTCCCCTCGAGCTGTCTTCGCCCATGTCCCCCCAAGCGTGTTTCTGGGCAGGGAGGTCTTTGCTGGGAAGAGGAGAGATGCTGGGAACTTGAGCTGACGTTCCTCTGTCTGCCACGGCTGGTGACAACATCAATGAATATTTGATGCCACACCTGGCCGGGTGGCTCGCGGGGAGGGGGCCTGTGGGGGCCTGACCTCTGGCGGGGCTGACCCCGTGCTGTTGGGGGCAGGTGAACGGGCACAACATTGAGGGGCTGCGCCACGCAGAGGTGGTCGCCAGCATCAAGGCGCGGGAGGATGAGGCCCGGCTGCTGGTGGTGGACCCCGAGACGGACGAGTACTTCAAGCGGCTGCGGGTCACGCCCACTGAGGAGCATCTGGAAGGTGGGCTGCTGCCTGGGGGCCTGGGGATGAGGTGGAGCCTGGGGGCCTGGGCAGCCCCTGACACCCTGTCCCCACAGGTCCACTGCCATCACCAGTCACCAACGGGACCAGCCCTGCCCAGGTGAGAGGGTGGGAGTGGACCAGGTGGGCCCAGGAAACCGTAGGGGCGACTCTAGGGATCCCCAGGCCTGACCGAGTCCCCCGCCTCAACATCTCCTTGTGTTGGTGTGACAGGGAGACCCAGACTAAACCTCATGCTCCCTGTGGGTCCTGGCCCGGGTTAACCACACCCCCAGCCCCACAGGGCTCTTGGCCTTGTCATTCCCTCTGCCCAGCACTGGCCGGTGACCTGGAGTCCCCCTTCGTCACCCCTTGGGAAGCTGGCCAGGGCCGGCTCTCCAGCCCTCTGCAGCACCTGTCCACTCGCTGCTGGGTGTCCCGCGTCCTGCCCAGGCTGGGCCTGGAGCACAGTAGAGGCTCCGCGCCTGCTGCGGGACGGAAGAAGAGATGTGGCTCTGATGTGCGCATGCGTGCACGCGTGCACCTGTGTGTCTGTGGGGGCCGCTCTGGCTCCTGGGCAGGGTCCCTGAAGCCACACCTTGCCCTTGGTTTCCCAGCTCAATGGTGGCTCAGCGTGTTCGTCCCGAAGTGACCTGCCTGGCTTAGACAAGGACACTGAGGTAGCAAGTGCCCGCCCACCTCCACTGCTTTGCTCACACACGAGGGGGGGCGGTCAGAGGCCCCGGGGGTGGGCTTTTGTGTAGCGGACGGCCTGGGCAGTGGGGTCAGCCCCTCTCGGATGCCCCGTTGGGCCCGCTGCCCCAGCCCCGCCCAGTGGCCTGTGGCATGAGCTCCCTGGAAGGGATCACGGTTAGGAGGGCCTGGGTCTGGGGCTCACTCTGGCCCCCTGCCCGCTCTGCCCCCCACCCCAGGACAGCAGCACCTGGAAGCGGGACCCCTTTCAGGAGAGTGGCCTCCACCTGAGCCCCACGGCAGCGGAAGCCAAGGAGAAGGCGAGAGCCACCCGCGTCAACAAGCGGGCGCCGCAAATGGACTGGAACCGGAAACGCGAGATCTTCAGCAACTTCTGAGCCCCTCCGCGCCTGTCTGCACGGCCCTCGGGCCCCGCCCCGCGGGCCCCGCCCACAGTCCCCCAAGCCTCAGCGGACTGGAGGGGGTGCTTCCTCACCCCCAGAAGCTGTGCTGGTCCCACCACCATCCAGGAACCAGTGTGCGCCCCAGTGAGCCCCGTCCTGCTCCCCCCCCCGCCCCCGACCTGCTGGGTGCTGGATAGGGGAGAGGGGGCCCCTCTCGAGGTAGAACAGAGTGTCAGGGAGGGGCAGTGGTGACCGTGGGCCAGGCCCTTGCTGTTCTGCCTGGGCCTGCTGACTTAAAGGAATTTATGTTTTTGCTTTTCTTCCAAAAAAAAAAAAAAAAAAGAGCTCCAGCACCACATGTTTCCACTTACTACCAGAGTCCCGCCCCCGCAGGACGCCTATCTCAGTCACTGCAATAAAGCAAACCTTTCTCTGCAAATCATTTCCTCCCCACCCTCAGCAGCAGCCATCCCAAGTGGGAGCCCTGGGCACTTCTAGGGAAAGAGAAAAACGTATGGGGGCCAGGCTGTGGTTGTGGGGGCTTCAGTGTGACCCTGGGGAGGCCACATGTGGCTGTAGGAGCTGCCCCTCTGCCCCCTCCCTGCTGGGGGTGGTCACTAGGCCAGGGCCCCACGTCCCTGCTGCACTAGAGCCTGGGCCTGGGCTCCAGGGGCCTGAGGATGGAGGCCCCGTGTTCTCAAAAAAGGGTGGCCTCTGGACAGGCCTCTTGTCCCTGCGGGAGGCAGAGGGAATGTGGCTGTGGGAGATCCTGCCCCCAAGGGACCTCGCCCACCCTCCCTTTCCTCCTGGCCCCGGCAGCGAACCCCACTGACATTGCTGTCTGCCATCTAAGCCATAGCGCATGCGCGCCCTCCTAATAAACAGGCCTTCCTCAGACCCGTGGCCGCTTCTGTCCTTCCTGAGCCCTCACTTGAGGGTGGGGGTCTGTGGTCTGGGCAGGAAGGAGGCAGCCTGGGAGCCCGCTCTCAGAGGCTGGAACCAGAGTCCCGTTCCTAAGCCGCCCCCACTCCATCCACCAGGCCGCCCAGCCTGACCCTGCTCAGCTTCCGCGCTCTCCCCTCCCTTTCCTCCCCACCCTGGGGGGGGTGCGTAACTTGGAGCCCTGCTCCCTCCTTCATTGGCACTCTTTGGGGCCCTTGCCAGCTTCTCCCTCCCCCTGCCCCCCAGCACCTCCCTCTCCATGCCTTCTGCACCCTTGACGCCTTCGCTCTCACACAGCCTCCCCGCCCCCGCCCCGGCAGGTACACACAGGTCAGGTCTCCTGTGCCCTGTGACGCCTGGCCTGGGCCTACTGGTGTTACTCTACAGGACAGGTGGCTCTGTAAACACAGGGGGACCTCCGAGCAGAGAGCTCTCACGGAGCAGTTCAGCAAGAGGGGAGGTGCAGACCTGGATCCCTGGCCTGCTGCCCTGGAGGGAGGAGGCCCGGGTCTCCAGCGGGCTTCCCAGCAGCTGCGTGCAGCTGGCTCCCACGACCGGTCTCCTCTGTCCCAGGCTCCCACAACCCCGCCCCGTACACAGCCAGATGGTCACGTCCCCGTGTCAGCCTCCCAGCCAGCCCTATTCAGACACGCGAGCACGGGCACACACGCAGCGCACGCACGTGCTTCCCGGCCTGCCCCCCACGCCCCAGAGGCGAGACTTGGCCAGACCCCGGCTGCAAACGATTCCCGAGCTTTATTAGAAAACAGGCTATGGCTCCCCCAGCAAAGGCTCACGGTCGGCTGGTGCATGGCATCCAGGCCCAGGCTTCACGGCCCGCCGAGGTTCCGTGCAGCTGGGCACAGGCTTCGGTTGAGGCAGGCCTGGCAACGCGGGCGGACGGGCAGACATGTCTGCTGGCCGAAGCCCACCAACAGTCCGTTGATCTCACTCCAAAGCTCCCTGTGAAGATGAGAGGTCAGTGGGGGAGGGAGGCTGAGGGCAGCCCCGCCAGCCCCCACCCTGCCGCACCGGGGCAGCCAGGCCTCCAGCGCCGCACGGGTCTTCTCCGGGGACTTGGTCGCCGTCTTGGTCCACCCGAGTCTGTTGGCGATTCTGTGCACGTGCGTGTCCACCGCTGCAGGAGACAGGACCGGCTCATCACAGGGCGTGCTGGCCAGACCCAGGCCTGGAGCCCGAGTCTTCCCCGCTCCAAACCCTGGGTTGCCACGGAAGGCAGGGCAGCAGCTCGAATCAAAGGGCTTGGGCCCCCTAGCAGGGGTGCAGGGAGCTGTGCCTCCTCGCCCCGACGCTGGCTGTGGGTGCCAGGCCGCTCCCAGAGCCCACACCCAGCACGGCACGGCCAGGGACAGAGCAGGGAGGATGGCCAGGCCAGCTGCAGCTGTCCTCTCCCTGGGCCACAGTCCCGGCATCCCTTGGCCAGCCACCCCAGGGCTCGCCCTGGGCACCTGCTCACCAGGGCCCCTTTCTCCCCACCAGCTGTAGTCCCTACCTCCTCCCGACTTTGCCAAAGACAACCTGAGTCCTACACCTGCTCCCTTCCCCTGCTCCTGATGGTCTGGAAAAAGGCTCAGGCCCTGCCCAGATGCTGACAGAGGGCACCCTGGAGGACACAGGGAGAGCACACAGGTGTGGGAGTCAGGTTAGTGGGTCACCACGCCTCAGCATCCTCCTCTGTAGCACAGAAATGATCATGCTGCCTGTCCCCCAGAGGCCCAGCCCAGGGCCACACCACACTACGGGAGCCTCCTGTGGACTAGTCCTCTGTATGTTTTCCCAGCTCCGCGACCAAAGCTCAGAGAGGATAAGTGTCTTCTCTCTTGGTCACCCAGCTGGGACTGGCTGCTCTGGCTTTCTAATTGATGGGCCCCTTCCCGGAGAAGCCAGAGAGGCAGGGCCTCCAGACATACGGAAAGGGTGACATTCGGACTTCTTCCAGTGTGTCTGCTGCTCTGGAAGCCCCTGGGCGGTGGGCCCTTCCCCCACAGACCTGCCAGGCCCCCCCCACCATCCCCTTCTGAGACCCGGGCAGCTGAGAACAGCTGCCCAGATAAGCTCAGGTATCTGCTGAGAAGCTGGCGGCTGCAGGATCAGGGGCGGTGGTGGGGGTAGGGCTCGGGGAAGGCTCTGCCCTAGCCCCTGCCTGGCCCATCATCGGTCTCTGGGGCTGCTGGGCTGCAGCCTTCACGGTCAGGATCCTCAGCCCCTAGCTGCCTTCCACCTCAAATGCAGTGCCAAGAAGGGAGCAGGTCTTAGGAGCCGGGGAGGTGCTGGGAAGATGTCTGCCCACCCCCCCGCCCCCTGCAGGAGTTCCGGAGGGGTAACCAGGGTCGGGGCAGGGGCATGCAGAGAGGCTGTGGCCGGCCAGGTTTCTGGGCTGGCCGGGCCAGCAGCTGGGCAGCCTCAGGAGCCAGACATCTGGGCAAAGACCTGAAGAAGCAGCCGCAGCCTGGCCCACGGTCTGTCTTCATGGACACCACCAATGTCAGGAAAGGGATTCTAGAAGAGGCTCCCCCCAGCTCCCCCTCCCCTGGTGTCCCCCTGCCTTTACCGGGCCTCCCCCATCTGCCCACTCTCGGGCCGCCTTCTCCTGGCCACTTCTCCCACCTGATGTGGACGTCGCTCCTTCTGCCTGGACAGCACTTCCTCCTCCTAGCCTGACTAGCCCGCTTCAATCTTCAGCTCTTGGCTGAATTATCATCTCCTTCTAGAAGTCTCCCAGATGCCCTAGCCTGGGCCAGCGCTGACAGCACTGTGCACGCCCCCCCAAGACTGTTTCTAGCTCAGAGGTAAGGAGTTACCTGCCCAATGTCTTTCTCCATACACAACGTGGACCCTGAACCCATCCCCAGGGCCTCTCACGGAGCCCAGCGCACAGCAGGGGCTCAGCAAACGGAAACTCCTCGCATCAGTACCCACCTGTAGACCAGGCAGGCCTAGCTCAGTGCTGCAAACATCTTTCTGATCCCCTGGGTCACATTGTGGGCGAGGGAACTTGAGCTGGGCTCACAGACCATGGGATGTGACCAACCCTGCCCTCCCTGACCGTGTATGCCACTCACCGATGCCAGACACGGCGCCCCAGGCCACCGCCATAGCCAAGTGCGCCATCTTGGGCCCAACGCCTGGCAGTGCCACCAGCTCTGCCACTGAAGACGGGATGTCCCCGCCATAACGCTGCTGCAAGATGGCACTGGTCTGCTTGATGAATTTCACCTTGCTCTGAAAGACGGAGGTGGGGGGTTGCGGGGGGGGGAGGTCAGCTCTGGAGGTGGAGGATGTAGACCTACTTGGGAGGATAAATCCCGATGGAGACTCACAGGTGTCCGGAGCTGCCTGTCACCTGTCCAAGACACATTCAGAGGCAACTGTTTGCCTCTGTCCCCCCAAGAGGTGGGAATGAGCCAAGGGCAGCAGGGAGACTGAGGTAGGCCCAGTGCAGGCCTGGACCCCTGCTTTCCATCTGCCTGGAAATGACACATGTGTGGGGTCTTGCTCGGGTCCCCTGTCCCATCACTCCCTCAGATGCCAGGTCGGCTAAGCAAGGCCAGCCATGCCAGGAGCTGGGCTCCGCAGCACCTGGACCTTCAGGAAGGAAGGCTGGAGCCTGGGGCTCCCCCGCCAGCTGCCAGGCCAGCTGGGTGGTTCCCATTCTGCCCCGAGTAGAGAGAGCTATTTAAAACCCTCTTGACAAACTGCGGCCCACGCCAATGCCAAGGGGAAGCAGCCCCACCCGCCCGGGCGTCTTCGATAGATCCGCCCACTCACCACCCAGTGCTCTGTGGCCTGTGGGGGCTCCAGAGGGAAGGGGGTGACGCACTCCAGGGAGGCTTGAAGTAAAACAAAGGGAAAGGCGGGTGGGCAGCCTCAGGGAGGAAGGGAAGCGCCAGTCAGCTGGGTGGGGAGGTGGAGGAAGGAAGGGGTGGGCTGCAAACAGGAAAGGCCAAGGAGGCAGGCCCCATAGCCCTGGCCCCGTTTGCTGGTTAGACGGGCAGGGGGCTCCAGTGGGAACTCACATTTGGGTCCCTACAACCTCAGATGCCCCACCTGGCCTCCCGTACCCCACAGTCTCCCCTTGGCCTCCTGACGTCTTTCTGAGGCCCATGGGCTCACCCTCCAGAAGCCTACGGGATAGATGAGCGCGCCCAGCGTGCTGTCATCCGTCTGCAGGACGCTGTCCACCGTCAGGCCCCGAGCTCGCAGCCGCTGCATGGCGCCTGCTGTCACCTGGTCTTTGGTTTGGCTGGAGAGCATCAGGGACAGCAGCACCTGGTATCTCCGCACCTGTTTGCACAGTGACGGGGACCAGAGTAGTGGCAGGTCCTGGGTGTTCACCGTGGGCTGGCCCCCGCAAACCCTTCCCCACCTGCACCTGTTACCCTGGCCAACGAACCGTGTTCTCATACGTGAGGAAGACAGGAACGGTGACAGTGCCTATCACACAAATACCACTAGGAGGCGGAGATGAATGATCACAACACTTAGTGTCAAACCCGGTGCTTGACAGCCGGTGCCTGCCACTGTGATCGCTGTGGCCTCGTGGATAACCCTACGCATCCCACACACAAGCCCAGGCGCTGACCCCTCGCGGGGCTGCCTGCCAGGGAGGGTTCCAGCCAAGGGCTGCCAGGCATCAGGCTGTGCCCTGCAGAGGCCTGAGAGGAAGCAAGTGTCTTGTCCAGAAGGCAGTCACCAGGCAGATGGGGCGCCTGCCTACCTTTGGGGGTGCACTGGGGTCATAGCAGTGCTCAGCACCCAGCTGGTCCACAGGTGCGTCCTTCCCGCTCCTCATGGTGCGGATGTTCACCAGCTGCTGCTGCCAGTCCGGGGGCTCCCAGCCTGGTGCCTCTGGGGGTTTGGCGCCTTCTCCTTTCTCATCATCTGAGGCTTCGTAGGCGACACTCAGTTTCTGCGTCTTCCGCTGGCGCTTTGCGGGACCATGGTTTTTCCTTCCTTCTGCAAAAAAAGTGCCATTCAGCGGGGGCCATAGGTGAGGGTGGGTGTGGGTGCTACCCTGCCTGCTATCACCCCCCATCATTCCTTCAACAATCATCCACCATCTTTTGCAGCTGGGGCTGCTCTGGCTTCTGCAGCACGTATTCTGGGGGCAAGTCAGCTTTCCCCTGGCCTCCTGGGGAGGGCTCCTGACCAAGGCTGCATTAGTACAGGAGGACTCTCCCCAAGGCATCCTCCAAGGTGCCCCCCCATCTTGTTTCCACACCAGCCTAGAGAGACATTCCCAAGGCCCAAATCAGATTGTGTCATTTCCGTTCAAAACTCCTCACTGATTTTTCCTTGTATTCATGGCGAACCCCAAACTCCATCCCAGCATCAAGGTACCTACGCAGCTGGCACTGTCCCCTACTGACTCCTTTTGCCCCGGTTCCCCTTTCCGTGCATCTGTCATACCCCTAAGTTTACTGGGTGCCTATGGGAATCCCCCTTTGGCTGTCCTGTTGCTGGGGCCCTGTGGGTCTCGCTCACCCCGGGGTCCTGCACACCCTGGATCCTGGAGGCCTGCAGCATTAAACAAAACGAAGACCACGCCCTTTCCCGTTTCCTCTCAGGGGCACCCTCCAGCGCCCTCGGGGTGGGCTTGTCCTCGGCGCCCGGTCTCTCCGAGCGGGAAGCAGCTACGAGGACGAGGCTGGTGTGCCACAGAAAGCCTGGCGCCCGGAACAGGCTACCGGGACGCGGAGGGTCGGGGAGGCGCGAGCGCCCGGACCCCTGCCCCTGCGTCCCGGGAACAGGAAGAGCGGTGGGAGCCAGAGCCCCACGTGGGTGCGACTCGGAATCCCAGTCCCCAGCCCCTTGCAGTTCCCCCCACCTTGTTTCTCTCCCCATGCCCCCGGCCCGGCGCGGGGCTACCTGCATTCGCCTCTCCCTTCCGCACCGGCGCGGCCTCCTCCCCCGCCCCCCCGCGGCCCGGCCCCCGAGCTCCGGCTCCGGCTCCGGCTTCGGCTTCGGGTCACCATCCTCACGCCAGCCATGCGCATGACAAACTTCTGTGCACTACACATCCCGGCGTCCCCCGCGACTCGTCACGTGACTCGATCCTCGCTCAGCTTTTCCGCCGGAGAGCGGCCGGGAACTACGACTCCCGGCAAGCTCGCCAGCGGCGCTAGGGCACTGTGCGCTGCCGGAAGTGCGGATCGAGCTTCCGGCGGCGGCTCGGGGCTGGGGGGTGGGGCCCGGCGTGCGCTCGTTTCTCCGCGCCGGGACGGCCAGGCGCCGGGTTCCGGGTGAGTGGCTCGCTGCCCCCAGACTGCTGACGCCAGCCCTGCCCACCCTTAGCCCGGCCGCGATGGGGCAGGGCGAGGCGGCCGCGCCGGGGAGGGGAGGGTGCTGCTTCGCGCAGAGGCGGCGGGGGCGGACCCCGCAGTGTCGCGGCCCGGGCCTTCGGCTGCGCCCACCGCAGCCTGAGCCTGGAGCCGCCAGTCCTCTTGGGTTTTAAGACGGAGCGGGTGCCGGGGGCCCCCCTGCTTCAGGCGTCCGGGACAGGCCTTCCCCACGTCGGGGAGGAGACGGAGGCGAGCGTCGGGGCCGCCGCGCGCCGTTCCCCGCCCTCACCCGGTGCCCGCTGCTAGCCGGGACCGCTAGGCTGTGCTTGAGTTCCTCCCAGGAGCTGTGGGAGGCTCGTGCTCACCCGAGACTCGGCTTCCCGGGCGGGCATCCGGAGGTCGGCAGCGGGGCAGATGCGGGGAGCTGCCCCTGAGCTCTCCGCCTGTTTTCTTGGCGTAGAGGCGGCCTCTGGTGCGTTCCTGTCCACCATGGCCAAGCCGACAAGCAAAGATTCAGGCCTGAAGGAGAAATTCAGGAATCTGTTAGGACTGGGAACCCCGAGGCCAAACCCCAGGTCTGCAGAGGGCAAACAGACGGAGTTTATCATCACGGCCGACATCCTGAGAGTGAGTGAGCTGCCTCGTCTGTTCCGCTAGCCTGTTGGGAGGTGCAGGGCAGGCTGGGTCCCCTCTGTCACCAGGTTCTGTGGGAGGTGGGACTGCTGCCATCCCCAGTGCTGTGGAAGCCTGTCTTTCCGTCGGAGGTCGAGGAAGTCAGGACCTCGGGGACTGGGTCCAGCACACTTGAGGTAGTACTCGGGTTTCTGTGCGGGAGCGCCTGCTCTACTGGCCGTGGCGAAAGTACCGGGCTTGGTGTCCGCAGGGGATTAGGGTTATAGCCAGGTGTTACCCTGGTCATTTGTGAGCTCCTTGGAGCAGCTGGTCTTTGTTTCCTGGAGTGTGCTTGAGTCGCTCTCCCACATCCCGGCACCGTGATTTAGAAAATGCCGAGTTTCTGCACGCGTGAGGTTTCCCGTTCAGAGACAACCAAGGTACTCGTCAGCTGGGGAACAGAGAAACAAAACGTGATAAACTCTGTACAATGGAGTATTTATTATTCGGCAAAAGAAGGAGCGAAGCGTTGACACACGCTGTGATGTGGACGAACGCTGGAAACATGCTAAGTGGAAGGAGCTAGGCACAGAGGCCCCGCCTAACGAGTACTGCCACATCTGTGAAATGTCCAGGATAGGAGAGTCTGTAGAAACGGAAAGTCGGTCAGCTTTTGTGGGGGCTTGAGGGGATGGGGAGGGGGGGTGACTGCTAGTGGGTGGGATGTTTTCCTCTTAGGTGATGAAAACATTTGGGAGTTAGCGGACACGGTTGCAGGCGTCGTGAATATGCCAAAATTGTACAGGTTTGCATTGTTCAAACAGCTAATTTTGTTACGTGAATTTTATCTCAATAAAATGAAACATTGCAAAAAAGAGAGGTAGTCTGTTCTCACCCCACTGAGATGGAGTCATAAACTCTGGTGGTCCCTGATTTCAGAAGTAGCCGCGGCAGGTCTCCAGCGTGGGAATTCTCGGGCGGTCTGTGCCTGTGGTTAAGGAGACCCCTTGCCTGAGCCCCGGCCCCTTTGCCGTTTTCATCTCCCGCCAGGAACTGAGTGTCGAATGTGGTATCAACAGTCGCATCCGGGTGATAGGGCAGATCTGCGAGGTTGCCAAAATGAAGAAATTTGAAGAGGTAGGTCTGCCTCCGTCGGCTGCTGTCCACAAGTCTGACGTGGCTCTTTCGAGGAGCCCGGCTGAGCGCTAAGTGCTACTACTAACTTACGCACCCTTTTAGGGGAGCTTCTGGGAATGCTCTGGGCATAATCCCTTGGGGTCACTCACACGTGGAGGTGGGGAGCAGAAGCACTAAGGTTTTTGTGGCAGTTCCGAGAAAGGCTTTAATAGGGAGTTGCAGAAATGCACGCTTACTTGAGTCTTCACGTTTCAGGGAAGGGAAGGGAACATCTGGAAACCTTGTGGCTCAAAGCATGCCATTTCTGGTGTCTTTTTGGGAGAGGTGTCTGGTTGGTAGGCTCAAGCAGCCTCACAGACATAAGCCCATTTATTTCGGGCGGATGGTTGCAGGCTCTCTCCAGGCGTCCCAAGCACAGAGTGGGAGGTTGTCGTGAGAGTACCTCAGGACTCTGCTCTAGCCTGGCCCGGAGATCGGATGGGCAACTTGGGAGGAGACACGGACCAGGCAGACTAGGATTTACTAAGGGGGAGGGGAGGGCCGCCACGACATCCAGTGGTCATCTGAAACACGCAGGCTGTATGTTACCGAGGGTAAAGGTGAAAATAGTCTTCTGCGTCCATAAAGTTTTCCTGTAGGTATGGAAGCGGGGGACGGTGGTGAACAGACAGATAAGCCCAAGAGGCTGGCAGAGTCTCCCGGGCTGGTGTGTGATCTTGTTGTAGCTTCGGTTGTGTCACTAGGAGTGTTATGTGTAGGATAAAGGAGGTGAAAGTCCCAGAGCATCCTGAAATGGTCATAATGTGGGTCGGACACCATCTAAAGGACATTTTAGTCCCCTCCCAAGGGAAGTGAGCCCAGAAAAGGTTGAGAAGGTCTGAAGACCCTGGTTGAAGGGAGCCCGGGATGATTAACGTGGAGCAGAGGAGGTGACAAGAGAGACTGATTCTGGGCAGCTGCAGGGGACAGGACCCCGTTACTCCGGGAGACAGATTCCAGAAGTCCACAGTGTTCTCAGCAGCCCAGGCGGGGCAGGCGTGTGGTAGAGAGGGGCCCTTGGCTGGTACGGAGAGGCCAGGGGAGTGGGGTTTCTGGGTCAGGCTGTAGACCCAGGCCTGCCTGGTCCTCAGATTTTTTCAGTGGCTTTCTTCACTGGAGTCCGAGCACGCTCTAAAGGGGGACTCCTGACCGATCCCGGGGGCCCCCGGGACAGCTCCCCTGGTCTGCTGCTTTCCTCCCTCCCTGCCAGGCTGTGGCCAGAGCCTGCGCGCGATTGCGGTTCGCAGTCGCCTGCGGCAGGGCCCCCAGCAGCCTCCAGGTCACTTGGCTGTGAGGGCACACGACGTGCGGGCTTCAGGGGAGTGAGTTCTGAGTCAGAAGAACCGTTCCGCTCTGTCCTTTGCTCGTGGCACTGAGCCTTGAGTGGAGGGGGCCGGTACCCCCTAACCGTGGTCCCTCTTTGCTGGCGGCAGCACGCGGTGGAGGCGCTGTGGAAGGCCGTGGCGGACCTGCTGCAGCCGGAGCGGCCCCCGGAGGCCCGGCACGCGGTGCTGGCTCTGCTGAAGGCCATCGTGCAGGGGCAGGTAATGGGCAGCAGGGCTGCGTGCGGGTGGACCTGGGCTGGGTGTGGGGCGTGACTTCGGGTGGCCGTGGACTGCTCCCTCTGTGCCACCCGTGGGCTTTGGCCTTTGGTGAGGGCCCCGGCACCGGCTCTCTGCAGCCCGACAGCCCGAGCGGGCACCCCAGCCTCTTGAACCCGGGGGACCCCGGGTGAGCCCCTGGACCTCCGCCTCCTCTCCTGGAGAATGGGGGTGGCTATTCCCTCCTCTGGAATGTTTTGGGGTGTCGATGAGGCTGCAGAATGAAAGGGATGTGCCCACTTTGAGAGATTGGTGGCCTGCTGCTGCCCTCCTGCTGCCGACCTGAGCCTCTGCCCATGGCTCCCTGTGCTCCTGGCTTCTAGAACCGGCAGCCTCTGCATTCCTGCCTGGAGGCTCTCTTCCCTGCTGTGCACACCCCTGCTGCGTGGAAACGCTTGTCCCCTTTCAGAGTGGTCAGACCATTTTTGTTTTTTTTTTAAGATTTTTACTTATTTATTTGACAGATAGAAATCACAAGTAGGCAGAGAGGCAGGCAGAGAGGGAAGCAGGCTCCCCGCCGAGCAGAGAGCCCGATGCGGGGCTCGATCCCAGGACCCTGAGATCATGACCTGAGCCGAAGGCAGAGGCTTAACCCACTGAGCCACCCAGGTGCCCCCTGGTCAGACCGTTTTTATCACGCGCAGACACAAACGTGTCTCTTCTGGCCATGAGCCCCAGGCTGGAACTGTGTTGTCCCCTGCTGTGTGCCCACAGCTCGCGCACAGACACGTGCACACATGCGCGCCGGTCTGGAGTGGCTTCGACATGCCCAGTTGGTCTCTTACAGCCAGTGCCTTGGGAAGGAGAAGGGGTCCCAGGGTCGGGAGTCCTCGAGCCCCCCTCTACTTGGACAGCGTATGGCTGTGCGGGAGACCCAGCCAGCAGGGGTCCTGGCAGGACAGCTGAGCTTGTGCTTCTGTTTTCAGGGGGACCACCTGGGCGTGCTCAGAGCCCTCTTCTTTAAGGTCATCAAGGATTACCCCTCCAATGAAGACCTCCACGAGAGACTGGAAGTGTTCAAGGCCCTCACGGACAACGGGAGACACATCACCTACTTGGAAGAAGAACTGGGTGGGTGCCGCATCGGGTGCGGGGTTTCTCGGGCTTGGGGGGTCCCGTTGGATTCCGAATGCCAGAAGGCTGCTGAGGCACAGGGGGGCGCTGCGGAGGGTGCGACACCATGAGCTTCTGCTTGCCTGAGTATGGCCCGGGACAGCCACTGCGTCCCCCGGGGAGCTTGTTAGAGACGGACAGTGCTGGGCTTCACTCCAGACCTGTTCGCTCAGAGTCCCTGGGGAGTGAGGCCTGCTAGGGGGGCAGGAGGGGG